TCAATTTTGAGTGGGCCCCAAACGTCTTTTGGGGTGGGTCCGAAGATGTGATGTGTTCCTTGCCGCGTGGCAAGTCACACAGTGAAGACGGAACGTCATTTTTGAGTGGGCCCCAAACGTCTTTTGGGGTGGGTCCGAAGAGGTGATGTGTTCGTTGCCGCGTGGCAAGTCACACAGTGAAGACGGAACGTCAAAACCATTTATGAGTGAATGGGAAGTTGACGTCGTTTTCGGATTTAACTTTAATTTTTTAGATTAAATTGATTTGAATTTTTTCAATAAAAAATTATGGTGGGAATTCAATTTAATTCTAAATTCAAATTTTGAGTTCCTAAGTGGTTTCTTAAAATTTGTAATTGTGAGAATTTAATTTAATTCTAAATTCAAATTTTAGATTCCTGAAAAGTTTCATAAAGTTTGTACCTCATCATTTATTTATTTATTTAACTATTGCATTAGTTTAATATATATATATATATATTTGAAATAGTTTGAATAATTAATAAAGTTCTACAGGTTATAATTGTTGACTAACGGTCAAACTTTTCAAAGTTGTTTGAACATTGGTTTTCCTTGTGCCGTTAGTCAGACAATTGTTTTGCACATTTTCACTTTTTTGAAGCACCTTTTCGGGTCTAATTTGTTGCCTATATATATAGATACATTTCCAGCAGTTGAGGGACCAGGAAAATTCAGTCTGTATTTTGTTTTGATATTGCTGTCCTCTTTGCTCTAAGTACATATATTCTTCATATATAATTTTAGGGAAAAAAATATTCAGAGAGTTAGAACACAGGTTTGGTTCGCCGAACAAGTTGTTTGGAGTACTACTACAATTTGTGAAGATCATTGTATCCTGAGAGATAGACGCCACTTAATCGTAAGTACCATAGCGGGGCGAATCTATCTTAAGGACAGAGTGTCACACACTCAACTTGGTCTTGTAATTTTTATTTGGTTCGACAAAATAAATTCGGTATGTTATTTATTTATGTTGTTTGATTTTATTTCTTGCTATTTTATTTACACAGAAGATTGTTCCAACAGATGGAGGGTGCGATTTCAATTTCAGGCTCTGTTTTCTCTCTCTCTCTCTCTCTCTCTTGGCGGGACGGGGCGATGGTGGTGCGACAGTGATGGAGGGGCGGGTGCGATTTCAGACTATGTTTTAAATTTTTTTTTCTGGCTCTGAAGATGAAGATGATGTGTTGATAATGGTGATGTTGATGAAGATGTTGTTGTTGTTGATGATGATCCAGATCTATGGGTGGGTTTGATTTTTGTGTTTGATTGGGTTTGATTTTTGGGTGGGTGGGTTTGATTTTGATTTTGATTTAGTTTTGTGATGGGTTTCAATTTTGTGGTTGAATCAATTTTGTATTCAATTTTGTGGTTGAAGTAAAGTGGGTTCGATTTCAGATATTCTTCTTCCTCACTCCTCTACTCTTCGTCTTCTTTACGAATCTATCTTAAGGACAGAGTGTCACACACTCAACTTGGTCTTGTAATTTTTATTTGGTTCGACAAAATAAATTCGGTATGTTATTTATTTATATTGTTTGATTTTATTTCTTGCTATTTTATTTACACAGAAGATTGTTCCAACAGATGGAGGGTGCGATTTCGATTTCAGGCTCTGTTTTCTCTCTCTCTCTCTCTCTTTTTTTTTTTTTTTTACCTGACTCTGAAGATGAAGATTATGTGTTGGTGATTATGATGTTGATGAAGATGTTGTTGTTGATGATGATGTGTTGATGAAGATTTTGTTGTTGAATTTTTTTTATTTTTATTTTTTCTAGTAGATCCAGATTTGTGGATGGGTTTGATTTTTGTGTTTGATTGGGTTTGATTTTTGGGTGGGTGGGTTTGATTTTGATTTTGATTTAGTTTTGTGATGGGTTTCAATTTTGTGGTTGAATCAATTTTGTGTTCAATTTTGTGGTTGAAGTAAAGTGAGTTCGATTTCAGATATTCTTCTTCCTCACTCCTCTACTCTTCGTCTTCTTTATACTCTTCTTCTTCTTCAGACAAACAAGAAGGAAATAAGAAAAAAAAAAAAAAATTCAAAACAACGTCGTTTTGAAATTTTAGAAGAATTGATCTCTCACACATTCGAGCTACGTAACGGAATTGTAAAATTATTTATGTTTACATATTTTAAGTCTTCTGACTTGGCTTTATTATCAACACAGTTCCTAATAAGAAAAGCAAAAAAAAAGAAAAAAATAATAATAATTACTTAAGAAACTAAATGGTGGATTTTATGACAAATTCTATTCTATGGACTGATTTAAGCTCAAGTCCTTCAAGCATTTTTTTAACCTCATCGGTCCCACATTACTTTTCTATCCTCAAGATAGAGGCTATCACTTCTCTTTCGGATTAAATGAGTGAAAAGTTTTGGTGAATTTAATTGAAATCTTAGGCCTCGTTTGGCAAGAGGCTATTTTAGTTAATTAGTCAAAAAGTTACTAAATTAGTCAAAAAGCCAATAATTCATACCAAAAAGTCAAAGATTCTCTTTTCTCTCTACTTTTTGCACATCTTTTCGTAATTAGCCAAAAAGTCATCCCAAACATACAAGTTTTTTTTACTTACCTTTTTAGTCAAATAGCCAAAAAGTTACTAAATTAGCCTATTCCCAAACGAGGCCTTAACTATTGAATGAGACGTTGATATCATGTGAATGTATCACATTCAATGAACAATTATAATTTACGATAAAAATTACAATATTGTTAGATTAATGGGAGACGTTATTTTTCACCTAATTTCATTTGTAATTTTTATTGACCAATAACATTATGGGTCATGCTACGTCGCTCGAAATCGAGCGACCCCTAATCCCCCGAATTTTTTTTTTTTCAGAAGCAGGGGAAGGAGGAGGAGGTGGAACTGGAGGGGGCCATCAAAATGGAAGGAGGCGGAGGCGGGGCTGGGCAGAGGCTGCGACGGCGGGGTGGCTGGGCAGACGACCGGGGTTGGGCAGACGACCGATGGCGACGACAGGCTGGGCGACGACGGCGACGACGGGCTGGGCGACGACGGCGACGGGCTGGGCTCTCTTCTCTCTCTTTCTCTCTCTCTCTCTTCCCTTCTTCTTCTCTCTTTCTCTCTCTCCCTCCTGCGTTTCAGAGTCGAAATGGAAGAAGAAGAAGAAGAAGGAAAAAAAAAAAATGGCCAAAACAACGTTGTTTTGGCCATTAGAGGGATTCAGAGGAAAGAATTTCGGGGGACAAATCATTATCCTAACATTATATAAGGTGGTATCGTCCTTGCACAATAATTTTTTCGGAAATATGAATTACTTATCCATTGTGGGAGATTTGGATGGGCATCAATCATCCCTCTTAGTTGCCGGAGATCTCATTGAGCACCGATCATCTCTCTCATTCGTTAAAGATTTAGATTCCTTATTCACAGTTAGAGCGCCAATCATTCCTCACAATTAATACAAACACGTTGATTTTTTATTTATTTATTTGTACATACAAATAATACAAATATGTTGATATGTTTGTTGTTTTGTACGTCATCAATGGGGTAACCAAAACGTTAAGGACTTGGTTAATTATTCACGATTCCAATTTGAAACTTGATTCGTTTGGCTTGAATTTTTCAAAAATTTTTGGGAAAATTTCTCTACAAATGAGTTTTCAGAAAAACTCAAACCAAACAAATTTTTCTAAAAAAATTTCTCAAAACTTGTAAACCAAACAAGTTTTCCAAACAAATATCTCTCTCATACACATCAAATCAATCACTTTTTCTAAAACTCTCTCTCAAAATAATTTTCCAAAACATCTTTCTAAAAAAACCAAACCAAACAACTTTTGGTACTTTTTATCTCCCAAACTCATCTCCCAAAATCAAACCAAACAAGCCCTCTTGACAAGCAATTTTCAAACATATAAATTTTGTATATTAAAATTAAATATATAAAATTATTATTTTTTTTAATTTTAAATTTGAAATAAAAAACAAAATTGCGAATTTTTAAAAATAAACGAACAAAGAATTTAGTGAATTAAAAATACTTATCTTTAACTAAGGTCTATTGTGAGAAATTAATTTTTTAACCAAAAAATTACTATAAAAAAAATTATTTCTTTTATTTTTTGTGCGTCATTTTATATAAAAAATAAATAAAATTGTAAAACAATCCTAGATCGATCGTGAGAATAAATTAATTTTTGACCGATTACATGAATAATTTAGGAGCGTTAGAGCATTTCCAACCTAATCCTCTCACCAAGAGGATGAAAATAATTTTTTTTATTCAAAAAGTAAATATAGAGTATGTTACTATTCATTTAAACTTCAATCATAAACCTTCAAAACCCTTCATCCTCTCTTCATCAAAAAGTAATTTTTATTCATTAATAGATATTTAATTTTAAATTTTTTGTAAAATATATTTAATATTATACTCATTTTAAATGTATGATCTCACATTTTTTAGTGATATCAATTTTATAAAAATTAAATTTACATATTAAAAATTATTTATAATATAAGAAAAAATATAAAATAAATAAATAGTGTTTTAGAAATTATTCTTTATTTTTCATCCTTCCTTTATATTTGAAAAATCAACTCATCCACATTCTAAATAGAAATGAATTTAGAAAATAAGTTAGAGCAATTAATATAGAGGATGCATTGAAGATGCTCTTACAAAAAGAAAGGAAGGTGATTTGAAGGAGAGTGGAAGGAGATTCGAAGAAGATTGGACCAAAAGAACCTGAAGTGGACCCTACAGTAACAAACCGGCCTCGAAATTTTAGAAAAATTTCCACTGCCACAGTGCCACCGGTCACACTGGTACCCCACTGTTCCGACGCGCGTTACAAAACCCCCACCCCTTCACTCGGTGCATTTTACCACCAAAACCCCTCTCTCTCTCTCTATCTCTCTCCTACACCTGTAACTCCATTATTCAGACAAACAAACACGCTCTCTCTCTCTCTCTCTCTAGAATATATATATTTATATAGAGAGAGAGAGAAGAGAAGAATCACATTTGGGTTATGGACGGTTCGTTTCTGTCTCCACCAGCAAAGCGTTCAATCCATCGACTCACCGAAATGCTCGACCCAAACTCTCCCTTCAACGGCGGCGCGTCTTTCAAGCGCTCCAAGTCTCTCCCTCCCCTCACCGTTCCCTCCGGCCACTTCCTCTTCCGCCTCCTCTGCCACTCCTCCCGAATCGGCGGCGTAATCGGCAAGTCCGGCTCAATCATCAAGCAACTCCAGGTCGACACCGGTGCCAAGATTCGAGTCGAGGAGTCGCCTCCTGGTGCCGACGAGCGAGTCATCGTCGTCGTTGCTCCCATCTCTGTTACCAAGAAAATCTCATTGAAGGCAGAGAGTGGAGGAGTCGAGGATGAGGTGTGTGAGGTGTCGGCGGCGCAGGAAGCGGTGGTTAGGGTTTTTGAGAGGATTTTGGATGTTGCGGCGGAGACTGGCGGCGTTTCGGTGGCGCCTGCTGGTGGTGGTGTGGTGTCGTGTAGATTGGTGGTGGAGGGTAGTCAGGTTGGGTCAGTGATTGGAAAAGGAGGGAAGGTGATTGAGAAGATTAGGAAGGACACTGGTTGTAAAATTAGGGTTTTGAACTCAGAAAAGTTAGCACCGTTCGCGTTTCCCAAGGACGAAATTGTAGAGGTAATAATGGTTGTTTTTTTTTTTGTTGACATTATTGAGTTTGAATTACAATGATTGTTTAATAACTATTTCGAATTCTTATTGTTTTTGAATTACAATGATTGTTTAATAAGTATTTTGAATTCTTATTGTTTTTGATACTATTGAGTTTGAATTACAATGATTGTTTAATAAGTATTTCGAATTCTTATTGTTTTTTTGCCTTGAAAGGTACCTTCATTCTACATAACAAGGTGTTATGGCTTCAGTTAATAGCTTCAACCTGTTCTGCATTTGTACCCAAATGAAGTAACTCTTAGTACCCTGTAAAGTATGCAAATGCGGAGTTTGTTGGAATCTATCTGTATATTCTATGTAACTGATCTTTACTCTATATGGACGGCTAATTTGTTATAGAAGATATCTTTTTGCTTCTTAAGACCTTAAAATGAGAAAAGAAAGAAATGATTGTGGGAGAAAAGAAAATAAATGATTTTGTTTTCTTATTATCATCGATCATGTTTAGACGAGTAAGAGAACAGTGTGTGAAATGGGATATGTGTTAAATATTTTTTGCCTTAGTATTTTAATGCGTAATCTTGATTTTATGTAAAATACATCTCCAATCAGTTTGGTATCTCACCAAATTTCTTCATTTTTTGGTGAGAAATAAAGTTGGCATATAATGAAAGAGTTCTATTTCTCATCAAATCGCTCAATCCAAACCAGCTTAGTAGTTATACTTAATATGAGCACCTACGTTTTTCTCTATTTTCAGAAGATTTTCAGACAATCGTGTGGTGAATCTGAGAACCCATTGCATTTAATTTATTTATATTTTCATAATAAGAGACCATAGTTTTATTTGGACATTGTAGTAGAAGATAAAATGGTCAGAAGGATGACATGGCTCTTCTAGCGTTTAGGAAGAAAAGGAAAGCACACTCACACAAGCAAAAAGAAACCGAGCGTGCAGTTTTTTCCCCTTGACTTTGCAATCCTGGAGTGTGGGAGAAAGACAGTGGTTAGAGCTCAAGAAAAGCCAATGGGGCCCTGGCCCCTCCAAAATTGGAGGAAATTCACTTTTTTACGCGTGCTATTCTTCAAAATTTTGTGTGCCCCATGTAATGGGCTCCTCAAACTCAATTTGGCATCTCCAAAATTTTTGAGACGGCCACCCTATGTTAGAGTGGTCTTTCAAAATTTAATGAATTATGTAATGGTCCTCAAAAAAATTAATTCAGCCTCCTGTTATAAAGTCATTGATAACCACATGTTAGAAAAACCTGGTAACAAACAATGAATATAATCTACTTGATTAGTATTAAACAATATTTTAAAAAAATATTACTAAAATCAATTAAATTGTGTTAAAGGAAAACGACTGGTTTCTTGTTTTGGTTTTTATAGTTTTTTAATTAGACCATTTGTGAAATTTTATAGACCCTAAGAATATTGATTGCCAATAATGCTACAATGGCCACATTTTTGTACCGTATTTGGTTTAGCATGTGAGTTGTTACCTTTGAAAAACCATCCATAGACATATTACAATACTTTAGTAATTAAAATATAACAATGCTCCTGTAAGCTCAAAATATTTCAAATCAAACAAAATAAAACTACATCATCCATGATAGTACGTTCTAAAATTTCTTTAGTAATCAGTGGGCAATTGGCCATATTAATTTTTTCAACAAGGCAATGGGCAATTGGGCATTTTGCAAGTTGCAAGGTAGTCAGTGGGAACTCACAAATCACAAACGGTTTATACACTAAACCGTTTGATGTAAGGGCCTATAAATGTTAACCCACTCAACCCTGTGGGCTAAAATATTCATCCCAAACCCTAAAAAAGTAGGTTTGGGTTGGGTGGGTTGTTCGGTGGGCATTGGCCCACCTCTAGGTTGCATGGTGTAATGGTCATATCGTAGGTGGCAACAACCGATGCTATGAATATTTTAATTCTTTGCACAAATTCAGGAAAACTTATCAATACATGTGTTTTTATTTTAGTATCACATTTAGTGGGCATCAAAATAGTTTTTGTGGATTTTGTTTAGTTTTTAAACATGACCCAATATCTATCTTCTATATCTATCTATCTATACTATTATAAAGTGAAGCCTTCTCATGGTGTTTATGTCTCATATTGAGTTTTCCCAGAATACCCCTATATCAATTACATGGGCAGTTTAAATTCTTTTTTTTTTTTTTTCAAATCTCTCGGCTTTTGATTTTTCCAAATTCATTTCAATTTTTAGATATTGAATTCAATCAGACAGTTTACAATCTTATTTTCTAAAGCAAAATGATATGTGCACGCATTGCATGCACCACAGCTTCTAGTATGTATTAATTTTAACACTAGTCTTAAGTTGGTATGGAGATTTTTCTTTATTTGGGTGTATTTAATTTCTTTATTTTTCTAATTATACTTATAGATTACTTCCCCCTTGTTAAAAATGATAGTCTCATAAACACAAGTTCACAATACAAAATAGCAACATATTAATGTAACTCAATAAATTACATATTATGGCATCCAAGTTTTATTTAAAAAATTGAATCTAAATCCAAATAGATGTAAGTTAATAATCAAGGAGTCAAGTTAAAAAGTAATGAAAGTTTGTTGATCGAAGAACAAGAATAATGAATGATAAAAAAAGATTGGACACTATGTTAGAACTTGAAGATTGGACACTATGTTAAATCTAAGATTTGCGCATAAGTTCTATGTGTCTATTTTGTGATTTAATAGCTTGAAAAAAGTAAAATGAGAAAAAGTGGGCATATATACGAAATCTGTTAAAAACAAGAGTGTATCGGTCGTAAAGGCAAACATGGTATTGTAATAGCGCTATAATGGCCGTTACGGCCTTTACATAATGGCAGTGGCTGTTACAACTGTGAATTTCAGTCATCGTATAGCAGCTGTAATGGGTGGCGGTAACCATTGAAACAGTTATGTAACAATGTTACATAACGGTTGCGGCCCATTTTTAAAACCTTTAGGATGACTCCTTGATGCAGAATGTTCATGGATATTCATGGAAACATTATAATTATATTGATGTCTTTAATATTTTATTTATTTATTCTAATTTATATTTTAATTAGGATTTTCAAAATTTATGAGTGTCAAGATTTGTTCCCTTTTAGCACATTTCTTAGTGATCGATAATTTTTAATTAGAATTGGTAGGATTTGTTTCCTTTTAGTATGGTTCTTAGCCATCAAGAATTTTAGTTTTCTTATTTTTATTAGGGTTTCTTTTAGCCTATAAATAAAGTCTTTGACATTGTAATCGGTCAGAGTTGAATAATGAATTTGAGTTGAGAAAAAATGTGGCTTTGTGTGTAGGGTTGTGGCCCGTGTTCTTCTATTAAAAATTATTTTCTTCTTTAATCTTAGTTCTTTTCTTTTGGAACCATTCTCCATATTTTTTGGTTCTGAATCAATTAAAAAATAGGATTGAATTGTTGATAGCCACCTTGCATCACTCCCCTTTTGGCCAAACTATTTGCCTCGTTGACGAACTTATGATCCAAGCAATCTGAATGTTACACAGGAAAATAAACCTAGCATACTGTCAGGGACTTGGTGACCTCTTTACCAGTCATTTCTCCATTTCCATACATAAAGTGTTGCCTTGTATCAATGGATGATGAAGCCCCATATAGTGCCTCTACATCTGTAGGGCCTTTCACAAGAGCCAAAATTTCTTTATTGACGGTGGGATACACGTAACTGTAGATAGCTGGAAGATGCTACTCACTAACACGTTAGTAAAGAGTAGTGCATCAATACCTTCAGTAAATGAAACTCTAGTTTTTGGAACATTTGTGGAGAGTTGATGCCTGCACATAAAAGCTTTGCATATCTGTTGCTTCATGTTATATACATTAGCCAGTTTCTCAATGTGGACATCAGATGCTTTACTCTAGAATGATGCAGAAATTTTTTGTTTTATTCAGGATGATTAGCAATCTGTGCTACTAAGCTTGCAGATTGATTAAAATATTAATTAATTTTTTTTGCTAAATTGGCCCGATTTGGTAACCATTGTGGAGAGGGAAAATAAAGAAAGGGATTGTTCATGCTGTGTCTTGGAAGTCTGTTGAATATTTTATGTCCGTCTGTGTTTTAGATGAATTTCAAGCCTTGTTCTCAAGAATTGGTCAAAGTTGTTGCAGATTGAGGGCAATATTTTTGCTGTTAAGAGAGCTCTTGTTGGTGTCTCCCGTCGCCTTCAAGATTGCCCACCTGTTGACAGAGCAAAAATGAGTGGGAGCCAATCTTTTGAGGCAATGCCCCTGGAGACCTTACCAGACCTGCGTATGGATCTTCCTCCTAAGCGAAGTTCAATGCTACCGTCTATGTCAGGCAGCTCTGTTCCTTTTCCGTCAGGAGGTCGCTCTTTGTCAATAGATCATGAGAGGGTTCCCACCCTAGACTCAAGGATGCAACAGCATGAAGTGGTATTTAGGCTTCTCTGCTCCAATGATAGGGTAGGTGGCGTAATTGGCAAGGGAGGAACAATCGTCAAGGCTCTTCAGAATGAATCAGGTGCTTCTATAAATGTTGGAGCTTCCGTGGCTGAGTGTGATGAACGATTAATTACTATTTCTGCAATGGAGGTTTGCTGTGCTACTGTTAATTTTCATCTCTCGTAAATTTGTGTGTGTGTGTGTGTGTAGCTTATGAGTTAATAATTTGTTTTTCTTTGGCTTGTTCTTTTGTAGATCCCAGAATCACGATACTCCCCAGCACAAAATGCAGTACTTCTTGTTTTCAATAGGTCTATAGAGGCTGGCATTGAAAAGGGACTAGATTCAGGCTCAAGTAAGGAACCTGTTTCTGCACGGCTGGTAGTTCCGTCAAATGAAGTTGGTTGTTTGTTGGGAAAAGGAGGCGCAATTATTTCAGAGATGAGGAAGGCAACTAGTGCTGGCATATGGATTATTGGATGCGACCAAGTCCCAAAATGTGCTTCAGAAAATGATGAAGTGGTACAGGTGTGTTGTCTTGGCCCGTATCTAGCATAATCTGTATGACATATAAATAATTGATTTTTTTCATCATTTGGCTTAAATTTTGTATGTTTTTGGAAATAATCATGCAAAACGGGTAACATTTTCTAGAATCTTATCTGTTTTGCAAAAAGATATTCTAATCTATCAGAAAAAGGATTTCCTGTTTTACCAGCACTGCTATTGTCGTTGAGGTTATCTTACCATTGTCTTCTTTGATTCATCTAACCTGTGTAAGGTCAAATCTTCTGTCAATTGTGAGATTTTATGTAGGCTCACAATACTTCCTTTGTCACAATCGCAGTAGGGCCTCATTGTCTAGCAGGCTAACCCTTCTTTTGATCTATAGTCACATATCTAAAACAGCTGAGCATGAGCAACTCCAATGGTCAGCTAATGCAGCTGCTAAGTTGAGCAAAAATTAGCTCTCCAGTGGCGTAGGCTGCCAAGTTTTGGCAATGCTATAATCTGCCACCTCAGCTTTCCTGGTAAAAAAAATTACTGTATTCCCTCTCTGCAACTAATTCAAGACACCACACAAATATATGAACAGGAAGTCAACAGAGTCTTAAAGAAGGCTACAAGCAACTTCATAAAAACAAGACACCACACAAAAATAACAAACTGCAAAACATCATCATAAACCAAAAACTACTGAAAAAAAAGAGGAAAATCAACATTCATGAAGTATTAGCACCGCACAAAACAACAGTACATAAACAGCTACCCATAAACCATAAAGATAAACATAAACAAAAGACAATTGAAAATCACAAATATGTGAACTAGAAATCAACTTCATAAAACAAGGCACCACACAAAAATAACAAACTGCAAAACATAATCATAAACCTAAAACTACGGGGGAAAAAAGAGAGAAGGAAAATCAATATTCATGAATTATTAGCACCACACAAAACAACTCTACATAAACAAATAACCATAAAACATAAACATAAACAAAAAACAATTGAAAATCAGAGAAACATATCTGCCATGCATCTCTGTAGAACATGTCGACAACGTCAATCAACTTGAAAGACGGTTGTTGCTCATCGTCATTGAGAAGGAAACATCGAGGTACGCCGAGAGCGACAGATTTCCTAGATCACTGATTGCTGTTTTCATATCGATCGAGATTGGGGATTTAGGGATTATGGACATTATAGATTTGGGGATTTAGGGATCTAGATCGCTGATTGTCGTGTTCACAATCAATCATCGTTGTGAGAAAGAGATGGACATCGATTGTGAGGGAGATGGATATTGATCGTAGTGAGAGAATAAGAGAAAGGGGATAGAGAGAGGGAAAGGACTTCAGTGAGATAGAAACAAATAAATGGAATACAATATCAGATGTTCTTTTTGGATATATTTTGTGTGAAGCTTCTAGAGAATTCGTTAGATCAATGGCTAGTTTTAAGACCAAAGGGATCAATGGCTCTTATTTGAGATCAATGATTGTGCCAAAATGGCATTAGTATCAATGGAGCAACATTGCTAAAATTGGAATCTGACACTGTAGGATGCCAAAGTATAGCTTTGGCATTGCCATTTTGGTGATGACCACTGGAGATGCTCAGGACCAGCTCAAGCTTAACCCATTTGAAGATTGCAATTGATTTAGATGACAAGAAGATAATTACAGATAACGTGAGGGAGATCATTAAATAAATATATTGGGAAGAAGTTATAGATTTGTTAAGAAATATAATTTGTTGGTAATAAATGGTGCTTAGAAGATGCCCCATGTAACAAAATTAGTGCTTATGCACATCCCACCTGTATAGAATGATCACGTTAGACCAATTTCGGAAGTTATGGATGGATAGATAAAAAAATCCATTAGGTAGAGAAACTCTCTAGCAAGGAACTTTAATAGCTGTAAGGGGGAATGTGGTTGTAGTGAAAGGAATATGGGTTGTGGAGATGTTAAATGTGCTTGAAGAAGTAAAGAAGCAGTGTATCCTTGAAATTAACCCCCTTGGTTCTCATCTAGGAAGCACGAATACGGGATACGACGATACGCCAAAATCTGAAAAAGTAAGATACGGATACAGCAAAGATACATTTGTTAAAATTTTTTTTATTATTTTTAATTTTAATAATGTAACATGCATGAAAATAAAACCTAATGCAAATTAATAAATAAAGAGAGGGATTCCTATTAAGTTAAGAGTGTTCAAACATTTATAAAACATTCAAAACTAAAAGCAAAAGCAAAAGCAAATACAAATGCAAATGCAAATTAAATATCATCCTTACATGCCAATACCAAAAAAAGAACGAGAGCAGAGAGAAGAAACGTGAGAGAGCGAGAGAGAAGTGAGAGAGATAATAAGGATACATCAAATTGATAAATTCTATTACTTTAACTCTAACTATATTCCTCTTATCAAAGAATTAAACAAAGAATTAGAAGTAATATGTGACATTGAGTATCCGATACTTCAAAATTAAGTATCCGATACTCCAAAATTAATAAAAATTAATTAAGAAGTATCCGATACGTATTCGCGAGTATTCAAAGAGTATCAGTATCCGATAAGTATCCGATACAGATTTGTCTCCCTTTTTGAAGTATCCGTGCTTTATAGGTTCTCGTTATCTGCTTCCTCTATCATATTGTTTCCATCATGTAGAGTTTCCATTATTTTCTGATAAAATCATTCAAGCTTGGCAAATCCAGATTCCATAGGGTTTTTGCCAATATTGAGCCATTTGGCAGTTGTCTGACATGTATCTTACATATTTTTCATTAAATGCTTTTGAGAATTTTTATGCATTATAGAATGTAGATATCATAGACTTTAGTGAGATTATTTTCTTTCTAAAGAGAAATGGCTTTTGTGGTTAACAGATTACTGGCGAGTTGGGTAGTGTACAAGATGCTTTATATAATGTGACTGGTAGATTGCGAGATAATAACCTCTTTACCGGTAGAATATCAAATGGAGCTGGAACTAGGAGCAGTTCTTCTGTAATAACTGAGATGAATCCCTATGAAAGAGCAGGAGATCCTTCCTCTTTTGGTTTGCATACATCTGTAGGTGTTTCTCATAGGCATACTACTTTAACACAGAGTATGGATCATCTTGGACTTTCCCATAATTATGATCATCCCCCATCGCCAAATTTATGGGCATCACAGGTTAAAAATTTCATCTTTTGTTTTTCCATCTTCACTTGTCGGGTTCTCAAGCTCTACCTAATTTACTATGGTTGGATTAATAGCAGGCTGTAGGTGGGGTGAACCCGAGGAGCATGGACGTTGGTAGAGGACTGACTTCTGTTCAAGGTGGCGTAGAATTTGGCAGGTTTGTAGTGCACACAGCTCTCTAAATACCCTATGATAACACATGGCATGACCAATGAGAATGGGATGGGACCTCACTATAATTAGGTTCCAAGGATGATTTATGTCTTCTACAAAGATGAGGATGATGAATTCTCAGCCATTTTATTTTAAACGACGGGTAAAAAGATAGGAGACAATATTGAGTAAGCTTTCATATGCCAAGATGACTATATGGCACTAGCAGTGTACCATGTATGCCCCCTTTTGGCATGTGATCTTTACTTGCAAAAAAATTAAATAAATAAAATGAAAAGGAGTTCCATGTGGTATGCATTATCCCTTGTGGCAAATCATTTACCGCTGGGAATCTGCCATGTCTCACAAGCTAAGTAGCATGGATACTTCTACGAAGGGTAACGTGTCATGTTGGTTTGCATTCATGTCATGTCTGTTTCATTTGGAAACTCCTCTGCATTTATTTTTGCTATTATGGAGTGCTATTTAGATTTAGTTTTTTACGTTGGTGGAGATTATATTGTATACTAGTGGGATTACAAAGAATCTGTGATCATGGTTTTAAATCCTGGTATCTTTCCCATTAATGGTCATGACCGCAATGTAATTAACAGTGAGTAATGAGAATCAGTAGGCAGAATTGTGGTTTTGTCCTTTTACTAGCAAACTCCTAATGAATTTGCTATAGGTTTCAACCCCGAGTTTGCTATAGGCTTGATAGTTGAATTATTTTTGAGTTTCTGAGTTGGTTTTTAAATAGAACTTACTTTCTTAAGCTATGTAGTATTGCACAAGTTGGACCCAAAATTTCACACATTTGTTTAAGTGATTCATAAATCTTGTTGTAGCCTTATATGCAAATCATCGAGTACCCAAGTTGTTGCTCTCATTGCCCATCATCCGCGTAATCCAATGCCCATCTACATGGCAATTGTGTAGTGGTTTTGGAAAAAGGACAAAAAGATTTTTAGAATTGAAAACAACTGCTTACTTGAATTTCTCAGCTAGTCATTCTTTTTTGTTCCCTTTTTTTCCCCCCCTGGTTTTTGCAGTGGAAGAAGATCTGTTATGGTGACAAACACAACGGTGGAAATTGTAGTTCCTGAAAATGTTATTGGCTCCATTTATGGGGAGAATGGTAGTAATCTGGCTCGTCTTAGACAGGTATTGCTCGCATCTTTTCATGTAAGGCTACAATGACCAAGATTAATTCTACATGTAAACCAATTGAAAATGCTGTAACTGTTCTACTTATTTCCCGAATTACGTAAAAGCTTACTTACTAAACTTGTTTTGAAGTTAGATTTAGAGTAGAAGGCTGTTAAAAATTGAAGTGTAGAACAAGCGGTGATTGCTTAAAATGTTATTAGCAATTACGTTTTTGTCAAAGTTTGAATAAAATAAGAAAATAGAAAGCGTGGTTACAAAACATGCTTTCAAGAAAACATGTTTACTATTTATGTTTTCACTTAGTTTGGAAAATAAAATAAAAATACCCAAATTGTAGTAAGAAGCCAAATTGTAAAGCATACCACTTGAGAACCAAAGTAAAAAGAGCTTCAAGTTAAAGGGGAATGCTGAAAGTGCTTATAATACAGGCTCACAAACTAGGAAAATTGTCTATGGGCTGCTTTTCAGCCATTTTCTGAAGCATTCTAGACCATTGTTTTCTTCTTTTATTTGCTGCTTTCCCCCCTTTTTGATGTGTATATTTTGCCAAGCTCTTCTTTTTCCCATGTAAAAAATCTATTTGTGATGTTGATTTCTAGTTACTTTGTAATTTATCTGATCATAAATTCACCTTAAATTTTATCCTATGGATTGTATGATTCAGATATCAGGGGCAAAGGTCATAGTGCATGAACCTCATCCTGGAGCCACTGACAGGAAAGTCGTTATATCTGGGACCCCTGATGAAACCCAGGCAGCTCAGAGCCTCCTCCAAGCATTCATTCTTTCCGGAGCATCATGACTAGATCCCCTCCCCCCATCCCATCTGTAATGTGAACAAAACTGCTAGAATAATTACCCTTCCTAATAGGTTTTTTTTTTTTTTTCTGGAAATCTCAACTCTGTACACTAAAATTGGGTGTTTTATACCAGTCTGATCAATGACCAAATGTTTTCTTTATACATCTTAGCGGTGTTTTTAATTTAGAGCTTAGTGGAAAGTTTCATGCATCAAAAGAAAACAGTTATCCCACCAGAACACCCCTGGGTCCGTTTGTTTGGGATTATAAGGAGGGAATTGGGTTTGGTAGTGAGAAGGGGATTGAGAATGTGATGTTTGTTTTGTGAGATAGAGAGGAGATTAGTAATCCCTTGGGTCCGTTTGTTTTGGGAGATAGAATGGAGGGGATTGATAATGAGGGGATTAATAGTGAGGGGATTGTTAGTGAGGGGATTGATAGTGATTTTTATTTTTTATATATCAATTTTTTTTTTTTAAATATAATGTTTAGTTTTTTATATTTTTTTATTTGTTTTATTATTTTATATAAAATAATTTAACATTTCCTCATTATTAATTCCCTCACTATCAATCTCCTCACTAGCAATTCCCTCATTATGAATCCTCTCCATTTTATCTCTGAAAACAAACGGAGCCCTAGATTGATGTTTCGGACCAGATTTACACTTCTTTGCAGGACTAAATAGTACCCAAGGAAATGGATTCTCTTAGATAGACATCAACATCCTACTCCTGGGGAGTGTTGTTGGGCTTGGTGGATTCATTACGAAATCTATTTTGGTGATTTAAACCATTTATTTTGTAGATAAAATCACATTCACTCTATTATCTCTTCCCATTCTTCTTTTTACTCTACAATTCCAAAATCCAAACACAAAATAAATTTATCAAAAACCAAATCAACCAATATAGGAGTCCCTTGCACAAAGGAAAACTTAAAAAATGAAACAGGATTCAAATGTTTCTGAAATCAAACAACCTAAAATATGTTACAAAAGACATTTTAACTTGACCAAATTCCACAGTGAAAATTATTGAAAGTAAAACCATAATAGGCCTGACAACATGCCTGACAACCAGGTGCTTTTTTGACTCCCATCTCACTTCACCATGTCTCGGACTCAATGGCTTAAAGCGAGGCCAAACGCCCGTGACTGAACTGAAATGTAGATTATATATAGTCATTCAAATCACATAATTATGCATGAAACCCTATGTGATTTATCTTAGAACAACATTCGATGAAAGCAATTGCACAATCCCTTAAGTCTTTCCGATAGCATCAGATGCTTGTGGTGGCACAGGTTTGAGGATAATTTCTACATTGTCATGGACTCCTTGTAGCAGTAGCTCACCGTCATATGCCACGATTTTCCGTTTCTTTGCAGCCCTCAGTGTCCCCACTAATGCTTCAAATATGTTGGCACACCTGTCATCATTAAATAGCACGCCAAATGTGACCTGCAGGGTATTAAACAAAACTTTCATTTAACAGAAAATTTGAGTGAGTTTGATATTCGAGTCTTAATGTTGAAAGCAGAAAATTACAAATTTCTATAGCAAAAACTAGAAAAATACACATTTCTGGGAGTAAAACAGACTATGAAAACCTAGAAGCCAGACAAAAATGGCTTCACAGTTCACACAAATGGAAAATTCTAGAACAAAAGGTTACAATAGATAGAGTTCATCTGAATTTTTTGTCTACCCTTAGCTGGATCTCTTCTTCTTCATTCCAACAGAGACTCCAAACAACAATAGACATTTTTCCCGACATTCTTGGTGATTTTTCATATGCTTATGGCTTACCCAGAAAGACTTAATTAGCATCTCCAAAATGCACTCAATTCAGGAATCTACATCGTGAACAATTAAGTAACATGTATTGAGTTTCTTCAACCCTTTGTCAACAAAGCAGCACCACGTTTAGATCATCCATCCACCTGGCCACTTTAACCAGCTGCACTGTATGGATCTGTTTATTGCAATTTATTCTAAGTTGAAAGCTTATAATCTATAAACAGAATTTAATTTAAGACCACCCATCCTACAACTTCACCATACCTAGTTTTTTCAACTAATTTAAGTTATTTTACCTCATGAGTGTAAGTAGAAGCTTCCAAAAAAAAAAATACTTATTTACACTGTAGCAAGCAACATTATACATGTATAATGTATACTCTTCATTTCAAATACCCAGGGTGGTCTCCTGGGAAGATTTTGCCACCAAAAAGACTGTGAAGTCTTGACTAATATAAAAGATGATAATGTTGCCAGAATGTCCGCAAAATTCCTTAATCTAATGAATCAAACAAAGCAATCACAAAGACGAGAGAGATCAATGTAAGAACACAATTTGTTGAATCGCCGAAACTTAAAGAGGGCATATTAGTAATGGAAAGCATGGTCAAAATACTTGGATCAGATAAAGATCGAACTCTTCACCCTTACTGATGAAAGAACAGCTTCCAACCACATGTACCCTGTACTAAGAACAATAAATTAAAAAAAAAAAAAAAATAGTTTTAACAATGTCCATATCAATTACTGCCATTGTTAGCAAATCAATGTTAATAAAAATCTTACCTTGTCTCAGCTATCCTTAATTAATTGTATCATCATGTCAAATGAAGTGCTAAAATTGTAGTCTTTTTTTTTTAAAAAAAAGATGGATAATAAGATCAAATGAACCTAATACCCACTAGATCTAAGAACCTAAGATGAATTTCTCATTTTCAAAATATTGTCAATTAAGCATTTAGTATTGTGAATCGAGTCGAAAACACAATTATAACAGAGTAAACCTTGTAGTCTTTTTTATTTTTTTAAAAAAAGATGGATAATATGATCAAATGAACCTAAAACCCACTAGATCTAAGAACATAAAATGAATTTCTCATTTTCAAAATATTGTCAATTAAGCATTTTGTAATGTGAATCGAGTCAAAAACACATCTATAACAGAGTTAACCAACATATAAAATATAAAATAATAATAAAAAAAATCTTTTTGTGTGTAGATGAAATAACCGGAAATGCATAAATCAACAGAACCCAGTTAATTATAGCACATGAAATCACATAATTATCATAGATCCGCCATTGAAATCCCCTAAACAAACTAGATCTATTATCTCTATCTATCTATATATATATATATATATATTGTGGAGCCCATATACATTAATTCTTAGAGTCGGAATCTAATCGATTTGTGAGCAATTAACAAGGAAAATCAAGCGCACAAATTATTGAATCGAAAGAAAGCGAATCACGTATATTGGTATATACATAGATATAGATTGATTTTGATTATATATAAAAAAAAAAAAAAATGGGATGGGGTAAATGTAGGAGGTACCTTGTAAGAGCCATCGTCTTGGGCCTTGCCAAGTCGTTTGATTTCTTCTTTGAGTCGCTCAACTTCTTCTTCTACGTTCATGGTCTCTGCTCTCTCTCTCTCTCCCTCCCACTCTCACTCGGGATATTTCTTTGTTTCTTCGGTTTTTGGCAGATTTTCCCGGAAAAACGGAGTGATGAGGGAATTAATACTTGTTTTAAGTATAAAAAAATAATAACAATAACAAATTTTGAAAATTACTGTTAACTTGTTTGTTTAGGGTTCACTTTCTAAAAAATTAATTTTTTTTATTTTTCAGATTTTTTTTATTTTTTTATTTTTAGATATATTTAACATAAATATACTTAAAAATTAGGACAAATTACAAACACTCCCTTGAGATTTGGTGAAAATACAGATTATCCCCTGAGGTTTGAGAAATTACATCCCGCCCCTTGAGGTTTATATTTTCATAACAAATTGTCCCCTGAAATTTTTATTTTCATACAGATTCCCCCTTAATTTTTTCTAATTTGTTATGAAAATTTGACCCTCATGGGGCAATTTGTAATTTCTCAAACCTCAGGGAAGAATCTGTATTTTTACCAAACCTCGAGGGAGTGTTTGTAATTTGCCCATAAAATTATAATATTTGTGAAAAAAATTTACAAAGTAACAAAAATACAAAAATTTAGTACATTTTTGTATATTTATTAATTTTTTAAAAATATTTTTACTTTCTAAATACATCTAAGTAAGATGCATCTAATAAAGTAAAAGAATTATTGAAAATTTTTAAAATATTCACTAGAAAAAAAAACTAAAAAATAAAAAATTAATTTTGAAAAAATTAAGACCAAACACACTTAAGGCTCCGTTTGGGAAGATAGGTTGTGGGCTTTTTTTGCTATTTTAGCCATGATGTTACAGTATGATACAACGGGTTCCTGGTAGAACGGGTCGGATTGATCCACGCTTCTCGAGCCAATATCTGAGTGGTCAAACCCACTTGAGAACCTGCACAAGAGTTCAACGGGGAACGGGGTGTCCCTCAGCGAACCCTCTGACGAGCAAGTTAGAGAGAGGGAGAAGTGGAATGTAGAGATATGAATTAGAGATAGAAATGTTAACCTTCTTTTTGTCTTCAACGTCTGCTTATATCCTTTGGTCATCATTTCGTTGTCCCTTCCGACCTGTCACCTTAGCCAAAAGTCTATGTTGTAGCTTACCTTGTTCGGGGTGAGGGCGTGCTATTTCGACAGAGAGGTATTGTCGTAATAAATCCTGTGAGGGACTGTATTAATGGCGATGTGCAGTGGCAATAACTTTGCAGATCTTTGTCTGCTGATATGGCTTGCCCTTTGCCTGCCGCGTGCCTGGGTATTATTGGTCCTTCGTGTCATGTTGGTTTCCAGCTGTTCTAGATCTCATCAATTGGGTTGTGTATTGGGCTCTAAGTGATGGGCTTGGGTTGTTCGTAGTGGGCTATGGTCTTTATGGGCCTAACCACGTCAGTAGTCCTCTATTCCCGAGTGCAGCTTTCGTCCAACGAAGGGAATACTAATGAAGAAGATGTGGGTTGTTGGAGATCGGCAGGATGGAGGCCGACTGATAGGGATGACCAAGGGAATGAATCGACCATGAGGAGGGGCGACCGTGTAAGGTAGCCGAGTGGAGGGGCCGATCATGAGGAGGGCCGATCGTGAAGGGTGGCCGAGTGGAGGGGCCAACCATGAGAAGGGCCGACTGTGAAGGGTGGCCGAGTGGAGGGGCCGACCATGAGGAGGGCCGACCGTAAAGGATGGCCGACCATAAAGAATGGCCGACCGTGGAGGGGGCGGGGCTCAAGAGGCGGCGTGTCACATGGTGACTCGAAGTGGAAAAGACAGGGTAAGGGGAGAGGGCAGTGAATCATGGTCGAAGACGTGGTAGCATCTCGCGGTGGGGGAGGTTAGGCATTGGGCCAGAAATGAAACGATATGTCATAATGGGTGTTGAAAAGACAGTTTGGGTGGACATTTGAAAAGTTTCAAACTGGCGAAAATTAATTGTGATCCTTGGAATACGGGCAAGCCTTGGGCCTTTGGTGTTATTCGTTTTACCTACCTTTTTGCAAAAAGCCAAAACATTCCAAGGGTAAACTCTTTCCTTGCCAACGATACACCTCTGCAGCACTTTCTGAACTTTCTTGCGCCTGCATCCGAAGCTATTCGTAGACACACCACAGAAATGGCCCAAGAAGAAACTAGAACTGCTAGGGTTGATCCACTTGGGGATGACGACGCGGTGGAGTTGGCGAAGCAATACAGGGCGGAGAGGCAAGTGGGGAGGGTGGGGGAGCCGGTGGTACAATCTCATTCTTCCACCATGATAGTGGTTCCGAAGCCAATCAGCCAGGCAGAACTAGATCACTGGCATATGAAGGCTGACAAATCGACAGTGACTGCGGCATAATTGGAGGGTAGGTGCGAAAAATACCAGATTCCTACCGAAATAGAGCTACTGTTGCCGACGTCAACGGAGAGGCCGTCCGACGCCCGGCCGGGGGAATTTACCCTTTACGAGGAGGCATTGAAGGGAGGACTGAGGCTGCCACTCCCGCAAATGGTGGTAGATGTCCTAAACCGGTTGGAGGTAGCGCCGGGTCAACTTATGCCCATCGCGTGGAAGATTGTATTGGCCTATGCGATTGCATGGCCGAAGGCGAACGAAGGGGCGACTATGACGGTGGACGAATTTTTCACATGTTATAAGGCCTCAGGACAGCAAGAGACCTGGGTGACGTTGTAGGTGGCGGCAGGGAGGGGTCTGATGACGGGCCTGCCATCATCAATTAAGGGATGGAGGCCGCGGTGGTTCTACGTTTCCGCGAATGGAGCTGTTGGGGTGCGTACGGTGTGGAGAGTGCCCACCAAATCTGTGGAGCCAAAACTGGGGGCAGTAGCAGAGGAGAGAGTAAGGAAGGTAAAGGCATGGAGGGAGAAGGAGGGAGTCAGGTGGGACGAACTCATTCAACCTTCGGCCTTGTTTGCTGCGGGGTTGGGCCCTCAGTCGACCGGTAGGGACTTGGAACCGGCGGAATTAGAGGCGAAAAGAAAGGCGCAGGAGGTAGAGGATAGGTCCATTCTCGCCAAGGCCAGCAAATTCAATGAGTCGTAGGCAGACCGGCCGCCGAAGCCGATCGCGAAGGAGAGGATCCGACCGCATCCTAAATCGCTGGGGGAAAAAGACTTGGGTGAATCTGAGCCACGACCGTCACCAATTGATCCTTTGAAGCAGAGGGCCAACAAGGAGATGGAGGGTGTGGGGAAGAAGAAAAGAAAGGTGAGGAGGAACCTGCCTTGAAGAAGATGAGGGAGGTGACGGCAAAGGAGACCCCCATGGCCAAGGAGGTAGAGAAGGAGGGGTTGGGGCAGACCCCAGGAAAGGTGATTGCCCCAGAAATAGTGGAGGTCGCCTCAGAGGTCATGGCGGTCGTTCTATTAGTAGTGGGGATCGCCTCGAAGGTCGCAGAGGTCGCCCCCGAAATTCAAGTAGAAGGTGGGGAAACTGGAGCTGAGACAAGGGGAGGGGAACAACCCCAGGGGGGTCCTGCGCCCCAAGGAGGGGGGTGAGGCCAAAGTATGCCATCTACCTTGCTCCAGCAGTTTCTGGGTAATTGAAGGGAGAAGGAAGCCCAGCCAGGATGGCTGTAGATCTTCTTTTGGGGGTGGTGGACGAAGGAGCCGTGCGCTCTGCAGCCAGGTTTAATGAGGTTGAGTTGCTAAGGGGGTTGTGCTCTGCTCAAATGGAGGCAACCACTCTAGCAGGGGCTCTGCTGAGAAAGGCAGCGGCTGCGAAGGTCAAATCGAAGGAGGCTAAGGCCTAGCTTGCAAGTTTCAAGAAGGAGAGTGCAAGCTGGAAGAAGGCTGCGCGAAGCGCATGTGCTAGGGGTTAGCATGAGGCTGAGAAGGCAAAAAAGATGGAAGTATTGGCGATCGTGCAGGGCAATGTTGCCAACCGTTCCCATGTTGAGTTGCTGGCGGTCAGGTTGGAGCTAGAGGACGAACGCCGCAAGGTAGTGCCGCTTGAGTTCCAGCTGGCTGGCGAGCAGAAAAAGCTGGGGAATGCCCAAAATGCCTGCACGGTCGCCACTGAGCGGTTTGAAGAGGCGATGATCAACAATGAAGAACTACGCACCTAGCAGATCAAAGAGAAGGATGAAGCAGACGTGAAGATTGCTAGGCTGCAGAAGGAGCTAGAGGACGAGCGTGCGAGGGCAATGAAGGAGAAGGCAAGGTTGTAGAAAGAGCTAGAGGATGAAAAAAACCAAGGCCGCCTCTGAAATGGCAGCATACCCCGATCTATATATCGCAACAGTGGAGCAATTCAAGGGGTCTGCTAAATTTCAGATGGCGGTCGATGCCGCGGTCGCCAGCAACTTGGCAAGGGAGGTGTCTGGGGGGGCGGGCCCGTCAGGAATGACCGCTGGGGGCAGGACTGAAGCAGAAGTTATTGAGAGCTTCCAGCGGTCTGACTTCTACAAACATGAAATGGCTGAGTTCTGGGACAGTGGCTGGAAGATGTTCAAGCGGAAGGCAGAAGAACTATTCCCATACTTGGACCTGAGTGGTGTACGGATTGATGAAGATGATGTGGCCCAGACCCCCTTGGATGAGGGCGTTGAAGAAGAAGACCTCGTTTCAAGTGAGGAAGAGTGGATTGCTGTAAAGAACGTATGTACACGTTTTGTGAATAAATCAAATTTGAGTTGTGTTTTCAGTCCATTATTTTTGCTTGTGCATCTGAAATGAATGAGAATGACGACTTGTAAAAGGCTTATGTAAGGGAAACTCAACGCAAAGCCAAGGTTGAAATGTAAGAAGAACTGAATGCAGAGTAAAGTTAAGAAAAACTCAATACAAAGTGAAGTTGAAATTGTAATGAAAACTCCACGCAGAGTGAGGTTGAAAATGTAATAAAATTATAAATTTGTGTTTGCCACACTGTTGTCTTTATTTTGGTGAGTCTGAAGTGGATGAGGGTGACTTGCAAAAGTTGATGAGTGAGAAAACAATCTGACTTGTAAAGGAGACTTGTAAAAGCGTCAAAGATGTAAAGTGTCAAATTACCCACAAAATGGAGTTGTAAATCATGTTGTAAGAGTGTTGGTAAAAAAAAAGGTAGTTTGGAATTTGACTAAGGAATTTGACTAAGTAAAGAGTGTTGTAACAACATGGACCTGGGATTTTGACCAAGTGTGGCTACTAATGCCACAAGCGTGACGTTTGCGTGAATGACCTTGACCGAGCGCGCGCGCGGTTTCGGTTAATTGATTCTTCAAGTAATTCAGGAGCTTTGAGTAGTCTAGTTTGGTTGAGCTTTTCATGCTCAGTTTGGCTGAGACCTGAAGTAACTCAAGCTGGCTGGGCTTGTCATGCTCGGTCTGGTGAAGGTTTGTCACGCGTAGTCCGGCTGAGGCTTTGCATGCTCGGTTTGGCTGAGGCGTTGCATGCTCGGTCTGGCCGAGGCTCGTTATGCTCAGTCTTGCTGAGGCTTTGCATGCTCGGTTTGGCCAAGGCTTTTATACTCAGTCTGGCTGAGGCTTTGCACGCTCGGTCTGGCCGAGGCTCGTCATGCTCAGTCTTGCTGAGGCTTTGCACGCTCGGTCTGGCCGAGGCTCGTCATGCTCAGCCTTGCTGAGCCTTTGCATGCTCGGTCTGGCCGAGGCTTTTATGCTCAGTCTGGCTGAGGCTTTGCACACTCGGTCTGGCCGAGGCTCGTCATGCTCAGTCTGGCTGAGGCTTTGCATGCTCGGTCTGGCAGAGGCTTTTATGCTCAGTTTGGCTGAGGCTTTACATGCTCGATCTGGCCAAGGCTTTGATGCTCAGTCTGGCTAAGGCTGCAATCAAAGTGTTATTTGAAAGATCATGCAGATATTTGAGATATAAGCTTGTTGTCATTAAAGTGTAGCCTATTGGATCATAAATTTACACCATATGCGGAGAAAATGAGAACATTCAGGTGTGCAGATTGTCAGAAAGAACATACATCAATTGGACAATACAAAAATACAAGTTTTATTGAAAATAGCGCTTCAAATGCTCAGCATTCCAAGGATGGGGGAGGTCTCGACCTTCCATGTCCTGAAGTCGGTAAGTGCCTGGGCGAGGTTTGGCTTTAACAACGTAAGGTCCTTCCCACTTGGCTGCTAGCTTGCCCTCAATCGGATTCTTGGTGACGAGGGTTGCTTCACGTAAGACAAGGTCCCCAACGGTGAACTCCCTTGGTCAGATTTTGCGGTTGTAGTGTGTTCTCATTTTCTGTTGGTAAAAGGCCAGTCTAACAGCAGTGGTTTCTCTGAGCTTTTCGATTAGGTCAAGGTCAGCCCGACGGAGCTCTTCGGTCAGTTTTGGGTTCGGGTGTAAAACCTTTGGGGTAGACAGACCGACTTCCACTGAGATGACCGCCTCAGCGCCGTATGTTAAGCGAAAGGGGGTCTCCCCAGTGGGAGTCCGAGCGGTAGTACGGTAAGCCCAGAGTACATTCGGTAATTCCTCAGCCCAAAGTCCTTTAGCAGCTTCTAGCTTAGTTTTGATGATCTTCAGAAGAGAACGGTTGGTGACCTCGACTTGGCCATTGGCTTGGGGATGACCTGGGGAGGAGAAACATGGTTGGATCTGGAGGTCTACACAGAACTTCCTGTACTTAGCGTTGTCGAATTGTTTGTTGTTGTCGAAGACGATGGCTTGAGGGATGCCAAACCTGCATACGATCGACTGTCAAATGAATTTGGTTGTGTTCTGTTCGGTAATGGTGGCAAGGGGTTCTGCCTCTATCCACTTGGTGAAGTAATCAATGGCGAAAATCGCGAACTTGGTTTGGCCTCGGCCGGTGGGAAGTGGACCAACTAAGTCGATCTCCTATTTAGCGAACGGATAAGGACTGCAAAGTGTGATCAACTCTGTAGGAGGAGCATGGGAGATGTTGGCGAAGCGTTGACATTTATCACATTTGAGTACGAAGTCGGTCGCATCTTGGTTGAGGGTAGGCCAGAAATAACCAATGCGAAGTATTTTGTGGGCTAGGGACTGGCCGCCTGAATGATTACTGCAGATACCCTTATGGATTTCTCGCATCACATAGGTTGCTTAAGCTGGACTGAGGCATCGCAGATACGGGCATGAAAAACCACATTTGTACAAGACACTACTGACGATGATGTAATTGGACGACCGGGCCTTAACTTTGGCGGCTTGCTGTTGGTCATATGGAAGTTCCCTCGTTGTCAAAAATAAAAAGATGTCCGACGCCCAAGGGATGGGCTCATTTTGAAGGAACTGTACTTCTTGCTGATCGGGAGAAATGGCAGGGTGGGCTAGGTACTTGAGACGGACACCATGACTGAGGTCGGACTGGTCTGTAGAAGCTAATTGAGCCATCTCGTCTGCCTTTGAGTTTTCCGCCCGAGGAATGTGTTGGATGTGGAAAGTATTGAAGAGGCGAACAAGAGGAAGGGCAATATACCTGTAAGCCCGCATTGTGTCTTCCTTTGCATCGAATTCCCCCGTAATTTGTCCGACAATGAGCTGGGAGTCACTGAACACCCGGATGTGGCCGACACCAATGTCTCTGGCTAGGCGGAGCCCTGCTAGGCGGAGTCACTGAACACCCGGCCTCATTGTTACTGGCATCGAACAAGAAACGGAGAGCACGTTTGAAATAACCACCCTCAGGGGCAGTGAGGATGAGGCCAGCCCTGCTGCCTTCTCTGCGGGATGATCCATCGACGTTGAGAGTACAAGAATGAGGGTCCTCTGGCTCGATAGGGGTTGGTGGGGGTGAAGTGGCCGTGGTTGGGGTAGGATTAGTGAACTCCAGGATGAAATCAGTGACAGCCTGCCCCTTAATTGCTGTTCGAGGTCGGTAGAAGATGTCAAACTGGCTGAGTTCCACTGACCATTGCATGAGTCTGCCAGAGAGCTCTGGTTGCGGCATTACCTTCTTCAAAGGTTGGTCGGTGAGGACCACTATGGAATGGGCTTGGAAGTAAGGACGGAGTCGTTTGGAAGCAATGACCAAGGCTAGGGACAATTTTTCTAACAGTGGGTAATTTTGCTCGGTGCCCCTGAGGGCCCGACTGATGTAGTAGACCGGCCGTTGAACAGAGTCGTTTTCTCTGATAAGAGCTGCACGGACTGCGATGCTTGAAACGGCTAAGTAGAGGAAGAGGGGTTCGCCAGTGATTGCCTGAGAAAGGAGAGGGGGTTGGCCATGCACTGCTTCAACTGCTGAAAAGCCTCTTCGGACTCGGTCGTCCATTCAAAAGTTTGTCGAAGAACTTTGAAGAAGGGGAGGCACTTATCCGTTGCATGGGAAATGAAGTTGTTGAGGGCGGCAACTCGGGCAGTGAGTCTCTGAACTTCCTTAACCGTTCTGGGTGACTGCATTTCAATTAAGACCTTGATCTTTTCAGGGTTAGCTTCAATGCCCCGCTGACTGACCATGAAACCCAAGAACTTCCCAGATCCTACGCCGAAGGCGTACTTCTCCGGGTTGAGCTTCATTTGGTACTTTCGTAGCGTGGCGAAGGTCTCTCGCAGGTCGGCCAGATGATCAACGGAGAGTTTGCTCTTGACTAGCATGTCGTCGACATATACTTCCATATTTCGACCGATCTGATAATGGAAAACGGCGTTGACTAACCGTTAGTAGGTGGCCCCAGCATTTTTCAGCCCAAATGGCATCATACGGTAATGGTAGGTGCCTAGGTCGATAATGAAGGAGGTGTGTTCCCGATCAGATGGGTGCATTAGAATTTGGTTGTACCTAGAGAAGGCATCCGTAAAGCTAAGCATTTGGTGACCGGCCGTGGCGTCGACCAGCAGATCTATGTGGGGAAGAGGATAACTGACTTTGGGGCAAGCTCGGCTGAGGTCTGAGTAGTTGACACAGAGTTGCCATTTACCATTGTTCTTGCGGACCAGGACCACGTTTGACAACCATCTAGGGTAGTCCACGTTCTTGATGAATTGTGCTTCAAGGAGTTTGTCGACCTCTGCGGCGATGAGAGTATTGCGCTCTGGGTGGAAAATGCGCTGCTTCTGGCAGTAAGGTCGGAAATAGGGTTCGATGTTGAGGCGGTGGGTTATGAATGAGGGGTCAATACCTGGCATGTCTGAGTGGGTCCAGGCGAATACGTCGTTGTGCTCAATCAGGAGGGCAATAAGGTCGACCTTTGCTCGGGGGGACAGTTGGTTGCCGATTTTGGCGGTTTTCGTCTGGTTGGTGGGATGGATGGGAACCTCAATGAGCTCCTCTACAGGTTCCCCTCTGACCAGCTCGTCCTCATCCCGGGCGTCCAGTCCTTCAATGATCATGGCTTCCTTCAGCTTGACTTCTTTGAGTGAGGCGACATAGCATTCCCTGGCTACAGTCTGCTCTCCCCTTACAGTCCCGACCCCCAGATCGGTGGGAAACTTAATGGCAAGGTGATAAGTTAATGTGATAGCTTGAAAGACATTTAGGGCAGTGCGGCCAAGGATTATGTTGTAGGTGGATGTGCAGTCGACAACAAGGAAGGTGAGCAACTTTGCAGTCTGCCGTGGGTACTCGCCGATTGTGATGGGGAG